ATCTTTCACTAGGGTGAAATTAAATTTATTTCATGTTGGATAACCAATATGGTACTGAATTTCTAGTCAGGTAAACAATGACATTTTCCCACAAGCAAGAACAAGCCTAAAAAAACCCACCACCATCCACATCTCTTCCCCTGACCCCTTTGGCACATAAAAGAACATTGCAATTTACTATACTTGTAGGGGAATACAGATTTTCCTGAAAAAATAAAAAAGGTGTGTCTCTGACCATGTTTCCAATAAAAAAAGTCAGACATCATCTTATTATAATGAATTTCCCATAAATCTGAAACACTTTAAACCCAAAATTATTTCCATATACTATCAATTGTTAATATAAAGTCTACTTAACAAGTCCATTCTAATATACCGAGTTCAGACAAGTACATTATAAAATGCAGATTAAAAGAGCACTTCAAAGGTAGGAATGGGTCAGATAAATATAGCACAATCATATGATTTCAATACACCCTCCAAAAATTATCAGCAAATGTAGATGGTGAAGAGACTCTGAGTCTTGCTGTCTTTTCCTCTAAGAAGTTTAAACTCATCTCCTCATGCAACAGTAAACACAGTATTGCACTGCTGTCAAAAGTGATAACAGATTAGGATTATTATTACACAATACATATATCATTATCAGAAAGAATAGGACTGGGTTTTACTGTTGCACATTCCAGTCATTTTAATGGCACAAATCTTGAGACACCCATCCCAATTTATCCACTCTGGTTCCTCATAAAGTAATGAGCTACCTGTCTGTGTACTCCTGACTAAGAAAATTCTGTCTGCTCTCTCGCAAGTCTCGGCTTATCCCATAGATTCTCTGCTAGTAAGTCTTGCTTATGTCCTGCTCCATGGTTAAGCTAACCCCTATGACTACTGGACTAGTTGAATTGTTAGGAAAGAAATGCAACACAACCTTGTTTTTTTAATGGACTATTTCAGTGATCTTATGCACAGAGTCTCCATGCACGATATTTTTTTCAGGACTGAGTGGGCTGTGAAGTGCAGCATGGTGTAGGAAAGAGAAGCCAGAAACTTGTCAGACAAGTTTTCAGCTCTACTGCTGAAAAAACTGTAACAAAAGCTGCTCACTGGGAGAAGAGGCAGAAGCAATGTTTCTCATAGCTAAGAGAAACACACTTTTTTAAAAAAAAAAATCTATAAAACAGGGCATGAAAAGTTCATAAAACCTCCAATTATTGGAAATCTTAGAAACATCTTCAGTTGAGACATTTTGCCACAGTCTGAGGCATGGTCTTTTCAAGGACAATGCTGAAGTGAGTTTTCAGGATTTCTTTGTTTGTCCTCTGCCCCTTCAGAAGCTGGCCTTGACCAAAAGGTCACTTCTTTTGGATGGGGGAATCTGAGAAGCCTGGACTTTATTGCTCTAGAATTCACCTGGTGCAGAAGGCTCATTTCTCATCCACCATAAATAAACTCAGATTTACTAAGAGACACACCATTAACTAAAAATTTTATGTAGCAGCTGGGGAATCTGCTGAGAATATACTCATCAGTTGAGGTCTATTTTATGACCTCTGATGTAACTCAAACCATCAGTTCATATTGGCTCGGCCTTTCGCTGACAGGGACCATGTCACGTATCCCGCAGGGCGGCTGGAAGCCACCAGCGGACAATGGGGCGAGCGGCTGACATCGGCCACTGGGGCCCAGGCAGAACAATGCAGCTGCTGCGGAGGTTGGCCCTGTTGAAGGAAACTCGCTTCTCCCAGGTTGTCTAAAGGGAGGGACACTGAAGCAATGGAAATTCCCCAGCAGTAAAGGAGAACAAAAGAAGAGGTGTTGGAAGCTGCTGTTAAAAAGAGACAGGCTCTCTCTCTAAAGCCGCTGGCTGCCAGACTTGGACAGTTTCTTCCAGGGCCTGAAAGAGGAGAGGAGGGTCCTCTGGCTGATACAAACCCACTCTGTTCTTCAGGACACAATCCCTTACGAAGCATAGATTAAAAACTACTCCCTTTAAAAGGGCCAGAGCTTTACAGCTCCCCACTATTCCCCACAGGAGCACAGGGTTGAGTGCACAGCCCCTGCTAAGGGACCTGCTCTGGCCAGGGGTGCCCCAGGACCCGGCAGAGCCCCCCACACTAGAATCCACCACCAGATACCCCACTGGGGCTCCACACCAGCGCTGTCTCTCTTGTTTTTGCATGGATCTGGAATTCTCTAGATTTCCTCCCCTGATTAAAAGGTGTGGCTGCTGAAGAAATTAGTTTACAGAGCCTCCAAATTCCTTACTGCCGTTGTCATTTGTCTGCAACAGGAGTATCTGGGAGGCCAGGGCGCGGGGAAGAGTGTGCTGGGCCACGGCTGGGGCTCGGCACTGCTCTGGGACCACCAAATCCCCCTTACTAGCAGGAATAACTCTGCAAGGACTCCGCACCTGGAGAGGAAACTTGAGGAGTAATCCATATATGATAGATTAAAATATCTGGTAAAAAATCCTTCAAACCCACACATATCCTTCCCTAAAAAAAAATTGTTTAAAATAAAACCTGTGATTTTACAGCTTACTTTTTTAGTAGTACAGCCTAAAAATTGGTGTTTTTACTGAAGCAAAGGGAAAAGTTACATTGATTTATAAATTTATTTCAATGCCACAAAAAAAAGGCAGTGGCTAAATAGTCCGTTGACCACCATGGCTTTTGGACCAGACCCAGAAGAACATTGGAATAAGTGTTGAAACATTTTATTTTCTACCCTTTTAGGGGCTACTGCAAACAATGGAAAATACAAGCACATACTTAGAATAACTCTATCCTTCGCAAAATGAGATCACACCTAAAAATACTTCCTTTTGTTGCTGTAGAACTTCAGTTTGTGATAATAGCTATTACATGCATATAGTGAAGAGGAAAAAATATCTCACCAAATCCTGGGTAAAAATTTGATATTGCATAGCAGTTTCTTCTACAGAAGAAACTTTAAAATCTATAATGATTCAGACTATTTGTGAAATAGTAGAATGAAAAATTCAATTATTGAATGGACAACATGAAATAAGGTAGTAAAAAGGTCAGGGGGTTGAGTTACTAAATTATTGCTTGCACCTAGGAAAAGCTACATAATGATGATAATTCTTTATATAAAAATTATATCAAGTATTAAGAAACAACAGAAAAATGTATCTGAATTTTAGGTTTTCAGTTTGAAACAATTAGCGCTATTATTTATATCCCCACACATAAACCCACATAGCTTGAATTTCCTGGGATATACATGTGCTATTAATTTTTAACTTTGCTCTAGGATCCAAGCCTGAATCACCAGGCCCTGTCACACTTTCTAATGCAAGGGTGTGTTTTGTCTGCTTGTACCAGAGGCTTTTCCAGTGTCCTCAACATGCCAAGGTATTTTTCAGGATTTTTAAGACCATCTCCGACACTTAAATTTCCTCAGCAACTTCCAATGCAGCTGACTTTCACAGCTGTGTTGCTGTGCTACAGATTTCATCATTGTTTGACCAGAGAAAAGAGTGTTGGTTAAACTAAAATCTCCATTTAGAGTGATTTTCTACAATGTTGTATCAGTTCCCTGCTGAGTAGCAGAGATCTAACAGTGAACAATATTTCTGTAATCCAAAAAAGAGTAAATTTTTATAGAATAGCTCACCACTGACTTCTTAAGAGAAGAGCACTTTCTTACAGTTTCCTCAACTCCATTATATATAGAATTGGTTTGTATTTTAATTCTAAAACCTATTAAGATTCACTTCAAAGTGTGCAATCCCCTCAAAACAAAGAAAAACAGAGAAGAGTAAGTGTAAAGTTGCTGCAGGAACAGAAATACATCCAATTGCTTTAGGGAGCCCAGAGATGACGCTGTTCCCTTCTCTGCCAGTGGGAATTTTACCACTGACTCCAGTGAAGGCACAGCCAAGCTAGCGATTTTCTAACACTCGAAGACAATTATTTTTATTTTAAAATTCAGGAATAGCCTCTTGCTCTGGTCCAGTTCTCAGCCTGAGGCTGTAGCCCTGCCAGCACTGTTAATGTCATTGTTTGTCAAGCATATTCCCAGTCTTGCGTACACCCACGCGGAGCTCCCAGCTCCCAGCCGTGATGTCCCCCCCAATGCATTGTTCCAGCTCCCCCTGCTTCCTCGCCTCCCTCCCTGTCCCCCCCATTGTTGTCCCCCTACACCCACCCTGCATTGTTCTCATGCTCGCCTGCCATCTCCACCTGGGAGGGACCCTTCCTCCCTCCCACTCCTTGCAGCAGCAGCTCAGGCTCCTTTCTTACCTACTTCCATATATTCCGCTGACCTACTGGCATCAAAGCATGTTCCCTTTCTGAAAGCACTTTACATAAAGTACCATTACCAGATCTCACAGCTTCTGTGAGCAGTGGGCGCTCTGCTTTGAGAAGCCCAGTCCAAAGTCTTTTAAAGAACAAGAAGATTCTTATTTCATTGCTACAGACTTTCAGTCAGGCCCACAATTAGGAATGATAGAAAGTGTTATTGCATTTTCAGATAGAGTATAAAAGGCTAGAGCAAAAATACGTTGTCATTACAAAACAGAAATATGTAACAAGACAGATACACAGGGATTAATCCTATTACATCTTCACCATATATATGTACAGAAACAACTGGTGTGATTTACACGGGCTCCATTATTTTGGCTACTTTGCTTTTTACTGCTCTCTATTTTAATTTTTATGTACTTACTATTTTTCCTTACTATTTTTTTATGATACTTCACTTTCTGTGAAGTGGTACCTTCTGAAGTACTGTGGTACTTTCAAAATGATACTCCTTTCTTTCTCAAAATCATGTTTACTATATTGAGTATGATGTGTAAACTGTTCTCCATGCTCAAAGTAAAAGTGTGTCATTGCTAACCTTTGAGAAGAGCAGCTATATATGCTTAGAGTAGAATACTTATAGAAACAAAAACAAATACCTCATTTTATTAATAGACAATTCATATATTTTGTATTTAAAAACATGAAAAACTTGTGAAATCTTACCATGGCTTATGCGATGAAAGCAGTAGTATGCGAAGTCCACTCCCAGAAGTGTCAAATACCACGTCCATGGCGAGTCCCAGGGCAGTTCAAAGAGTCTGTAGTTATTCCATACATAGATGTAACTAATTAAGTCAACACTTCTGAATAAAACACTGAAATAGAGATCCAAAATGTTTTATCAATAATTTTGTCAATTTTAATTTCAGAACCTTTTTACTATATATTGAGTATTTTTCAGCTGGGAGTCTTTTTGTAACACACAAAAATAGGGTCCCCATTCTGCAATCTTGTCAAGTAATACTACTATTTACTTCAGCGGAACCTTGCCTTAACATCTACAGGGTTTCTAAATCCAGCTTTCTCCCACTCACCACCCATTAGGCATGCTCAAGGGCTGAAGCACTCCTGTGCTCTGCAGGTGCTATGGTGTTCCTGTTTTCCCAAATCTGAAAGAAACCCATCCTTGCTAACTCACAAGTTAGAAGTGACTGAAGTGTAGCAGCAATTATGCTCAAACACTAATGTAAGACATTAAAATACTTTGACTACTTCCATTATGAGGAAGGACAGGGAAGAGGACAGGACTTTTGGGAGCAGTGAAATATTCAATCTGCTCAGCATATCACTTCACTTTAGAAAAGGATAAATTCAGCAGGAGGAGCTAAAGCCCAGTGCCTTTGAAAAGAAGAGAGAAATGGCAGGGTTGCCAGAAAGAGACAGGAGAAATCATGAATTTACAAAGACAGGAAAGCCCACAAACAGCAGCTTTTGTTCCTTCTGAGCTCCTGGACTTACAGGGACTGAGTAGCTACCCCTGACCTAACACAGCACAGAGGTAAGACCAGAAGGAGAAAGAAAGGAGCTCTGGGATGGGCAGTCCAAACCCAGTGGCAACTCTCCACAGCTGTTCAGGATAATACAAATTTTAGTTGCCAGTGTCACACCCTTTCCTCAGTACCCCACCATCTCATTTCACTAATTGGGAGCCTGAGCCATCTCCAACAAATTACTTTGAATTTACAGGGTGAGTTTCTGGATGGATCAGGAAGCATTAAACACAGCAAATGAGAGCTGAGAAGCTGTAGGCACTGGGGTAGCCCAGGTGACAATTGGCTTAGGTAGCTGTGAAATGGTGCCTCAACTGCAGACTGATATATATTTAAACTGCCATTTTCCTAGAAGAAACAGCAGGATTTGCAGCAGCTTCCTCACATTTCCTCCTGCTACTCTCCTTTGTGGTGTTGCTGAAAATGTAGTGAAACAGCGGTGAACTGAACTGCATCAGTGTCTGAAAAGCAGTGAGCAGAAAAAAAAGTAGGTAAAAGATACTAACTGTGGGAAAGTCACACGTATCCTTTTCTATATATCAATGAATTAACTGCACCTGAGTTTAGAGCCTAAGAGTTAAAAATAAGATAATCATTGTCACCATCCTGTACACACAAAAAAATAATTTAGTTCTCAGATGTTTTGCTGTTGGTATTTTTTTGGGGGGAAGTGGAAGAATTATCAGCAACACCTTTGTACAAAGTTGAGCAAGACTTTAAAAATCTATAAAATATATTCATGGTTGAAGGAAGACTAAGGGATTCAAATTCGGGGAGCTTCCAAAGGACATTACAGACGGCATACCTGCAAGACAGTACTTGAATAGAGGTGGTAACAAATTGCACGTAGGAGTCCCAGCCTTGCAAAATCTCAGCTGAAAGACAGACCAACATCTCTCTTTCCCTTTAGACTCATCTGGAACTTCACCTTACATTGAAATCAGCTAAAAGATTATCCATGCATCTCTGTCCATGTTGCTCATTCTTGTCTCAGTACCACTTCTCAATGGTATTTCTCCCCAAAACTCTGTCTTTTTTTTCTTTTTTCCTTTTTTTTTTTTTGGCTAGATTATTTTTCATATAGTTTATAGTATAGCCACAAAAATACTTGAATCTGAAAACTAAAAAAGGAAATATACTCCTTCACCTCTAAAGCTTTGTTTCACGCATCTGGAAAAGATCCCTGAAAATAGTCTGGCCATGCCCTGTCCTTTTGGGCAGCTGCACTGAAACACAAGGGAACCTCAGCAAATACGGTTGTTTCAGCTTGCAAGCCACCCCCTCTGCCATAACTGAACTTTGCAGTCACCTCCATCTTTTTGCAGAGACACCCATTCAGAGCTTTTATACTTCTAGCATTAGCACCTCTTCCCATAAGTGTTTTGAATAAGGCTAGAAGAAAACACCTTGAGCTTCTGTGGTGTTACTTTCTCTATTAAAGAGGAACAAAGTAATCTGAAAATTCCAAACTCCCAGTACTAGCCTGCAAGCATAACAGCATCACATCCACCACTTTATTCTGAGAGCTGAAGCATTACAAGTTGTTGTTGCTCAGGAAGAAGAGAGCTAATATCTTTTCCACAGCCAGGCTCATCCCTTACCTGCAACTCATTCCTACCTTTCCTATAATCATATCCATTTTTCTCTTGGATAAATATAACAAAAAATGGTGGAATTTCACTTCAGCAGCTCACACCCATGAAGAACATCTCTTGACTAGCAAGGACAGGTGTATCTGCAACTTCAAAAACAAATTGGCTATGCCCAGAAAGTGGACCATACACACCTGGAACATGTTTAATTTTCATAAGAGCTGTGTTCTATAAATATTTTTAAAGGAGATTATATGTGTCCAACCAGATTTTTGCAATTCACCTCATGAGGAATCTGTAAAGTTCAGTATAAATTCTCAATCCATTTCACAACAGGTCAGAAGGGAGCTGATATTATTCAAACACAAAGAAACGGGCATTTCTTAACATATTTTCAATGACCAGGAAATTTGAAACACCTCTTGCAACATAGAGTATCAGTTATTATTAGGTACTGTTTTCTTACTTTATTCTTTTGCTTTTATTAACACATAATGCCTTTGCAGTACATCCAAAGATATGTGACCTGGAACATTTCCTCCATTTTTGATCAGCTTTCAGTATTTCACCCTCGAGTCCTTTTTTTTTTTTTTTCCACAGGCTGAGGCCAAGGTGTAACACTTGAGCTAACCCTGCAACACGTTTTTCTATATATATAATTTGCTGCACATTCTTTCCTTCATGCTTGAATCACAACTCTACAGCACACGACGTTAGCTGATTACCATAATTAATTTAGAGTAGTTTATCATATTACTATGCAATTCTAAAGAAAGAAGAGTTGCTTAGCTAAGTATTTTTTAAAAATTTACAGTGTGATAGATAGGAAAGGCCAGAGCTTGCATTCAATTACAATTCTGGAAGTTCACTTGGAGTTTTATAGGTTTATATTCCCCCTTTTTTCTCCCTTAAGTTCCTTTTTCACTTCTTGAAAATACTGAAGAGAACTTAAGAAATTTTTTCTTCATTTACATGTTATAACCATAAATGTGACAGAAGTGGATAGGTAAGACTTTTTTCATCTAGTCCAATCCTCTGCATAAGGAGTAATAAATCCTAAAACAGACTGTATATAAAACCTTATTATATACATTCCATAGATTTATTTTCTTGGATTTTGAACATTGCTGCTGAAAATTTTCTTATTACACGCAAAGTGCACTTAGACAACAGTTTTGACTCTGAGAGACAGTTCTCATCTCCTTGTTTCCAAAGTTCATACGTACTTTACTCAACGGCGGTAATACTTGTTTTTAATAAATCATTTCCCCCTTCACCTTCCACTGGGTCAGATTATCACTTCCTCTAATTAAAAAAGTCCAAGAAGGAAATTCTGGGAGATGAACTCTCCATGTGGAAATAAAGATCTACTTATGGTAAATCCCTATGGGATAATGAAGGAGGGAAAAGGTGGAGGAAATTCAACTGGACAAAAAGAAAGCTGCCCATTTCAAAGAATACAAGGTCCTCTTTTGCTTCCTCCAACTCACAGATCAGCCATAGAGCCTGAAACCACACCTTTAGAAAACTTCTTCCGTGGTGCCCAGGACAGTCACAAAAAAGGAAAAGGGGCAGAGACAGGAGCTGTTGTCTCTGTTCCAAGAACGGAGGAAGATCTGTGTACCTAAAGTGAATATCTCAAGGAAACTGCCTCAGCTCTTACCACTTTTGCAGTCACCACCTCACATCACACTGGGAACTGACCTGGTGCCCCTGAGCTAAAAACACAACCCTACAGCTGGACCTACAAAGGCTCTTCTCTCAAGGGCTGTAACAGACTTGCATCCTTGGAGGTCAGACACAGAGGGAAACATGTTAAGATACCCTGGTCACAAGGTTATATTATCATGAAAAATAGTGAGAGATTACTAATACAGTTTCCCTGGGTTAAATAAATTCTGTTTTCCTAGCCTGATTTGAACTATATGAATGTAAAGTTTCAAAATGTTGAAAAAAGGCAGTTTCTCAATAATTTGAAATTATTCAGACCATTTATGTAACAGCAGGATACACGAATAATTAAATGCTTTGTAAGTCTTTGTTTCAGAGTGGAAAGCATAAGGATTTCCATTTCCAAGGATACTCATAGAGCTTTCTTTTCCAGATGAAAAACTGACTCCAGTCAAAATTGAAATAAACATTTTGATAACAAGATTTCAGTAAAGAGAAGAAGGGGGGAAAGAGGTAGAGAAGCCTCGAGAAAAGGTCCATTTGCAAAATAAAGAAAATCTCCTGCAACTGAAATCCCCTTTTATTTCCTGTACAGGTGCCAGGTCTTGAACAGACACTCAATTTATTACTTTGTCAGTTGACTTATTAGGGTTGACACAAATCGAGCTGAAATATGCCTGACACAGTGCAGTCAACGCTTTTTTCACGCTTTAGCACAAAGCCAAACTTTCCACAAGGTGGAGGGAAAGGGAGAGGGAGCTGTGGGAGTTCTATTCCCTGTTTTCTATCATCAAGATGAATACGATCTCTTCTCCCATTCTGAATATGCAAAACCAGTCATGAAATAACCCAAGGCTAAAAAATAATTCACCAAAATGATACAGCTGGGAAATTATTATCAGGCTCTGGAAAGCCCTTGATTACAGGAAATAGCACCTACCTTTTGAGAAAATGTTCCCACCAGACACAAAAGCTGAATCAAAGCTTCTCGTCTTCCTTAGTATGGCTTTCTTTTCCAGTATTTTAGCCTAAACAATACAAACCTCCAGTTTCCCTCAAGTA